TATTTACATAAATTCATGAAATAGTAGTTCAATAAAATTTTGAATGTGAGTCAACAAACGAGATGATATGGCCTTTCACCGCCTCAAAAGGGTTAAAAAATAAAAGTGTAGTGAATATATAAATTTGTTCTTAAAACATACATTACATATCTGAACTGAATATTAAACAAAATTCATTATTCCACCACAAAAATAATTCAAAAAACTTAATGTCTAAAATAAATCACTTTAAAATACTTTTCATAGTTGATTAAAGCCAATTAAATGCAAATGGTGGCCCACTAAAATGATTAAAACACTAATTATTAAGAAATAGAGTTTATATATGTTTTATATACCCTTGGAATCACAGCCTGGAAGAGGACAAACTGGTTCACCCTCATCTTCTTCATCTTCTATTTTTACTTCATTCTCAATATTAAGCTGTCTCTGTTGTTTGTTCCTTGTTGCACGTGGCAATTTAGTAATTGAAGAAAATGGTGAGAAGAGATCCTTCTTTGAATCTTTTTTGGATATTATACCACATACATCACTTCCACTGTCACTGGTATAACCTTGGCCTCTGGCTGCAGCTTTGGCAAGTGCTAAAAATTGCCTTAGAAATTAAAATTTTGCATAGAAAAATCTTGCATATCATACACACACACACATACTTCAGTCTCATCAGGACTTATAAAGAGATTTTTTAGAAATTACTTGCTTCCTTCAATATGTCCACAAAAATTAATAATACATAACTTCTAAAAAGGTTTACAAAATCATGGGAATAATAATTTATAAGTATCAACACAATTATGTATTTTTAATCAAAATAATCCTCTTTCACTTAAATTTCCACAGAACTGTGTCCACCTACATGTTTTGGATTTTACAAAAGGAAACTAGTCAAATATATTTCAATCAAATAGACTGGGTACTACCATCACCTTTGCTATCTGAGTCTATTACATGCCTCAAATTAGACAACTCAAGTTAAAATAAAAAATGGTAAACATTATCCTCTATGTTTCTTTACTTCACTGGTTGCTGTTAGGCTTAATCATAAGAAATCTGAATGAAATCAACATGTAATAGTAATTTAAAATAAATGAAAAATTTAAGAACACTGCAAATATATTTTGCAAGCACACAGAAAAAGTGTTTAATTTGATAACTCACTGAAAATATCATGATTTTTGTTTTCTCAGCACACTTTTCTATTTATATAAAAATATAAATATATATTATTTTTTTATAAAAACATTAGATTATATTGTCCTTCAGGTACCATTTTCATTAGTTATTACTATTGTAGTATATGATAGATATATATACTGATATCTGGGAATATTTGAAACTATAGATCATGAAATTATAATATACTATGTGAATAATGAATACTACATAGATACATTTTGGTCTACAAGAAAAAAAGGTTTATAGACTTACACATCTTTATATACTAAAACATTTTAAAAAGCAAGTACTTGTAAATGGCGAAGGGTAAAAACACATGTCATCACCTTGAGATTTACTGCATAGATTTTCTAGTCAGTTTAATATCTGGTTTTACAAGTATTTCTTTGAGGTATATAGTTTCTAAACAGTTAATACAGCTAATAGGATTTGTAATTAGCCAAATTCTTATAAAATATGCCATCACCTTGAGATTTACTGCGTAAACGTGTTGTTCGTGTGACTGGTAGTCTACTCCTTTCACTACCACTCTCACTGTCTGAATTTTCTTCTTGTGGTGCTGCTCGACGCACCCTTTTCCTCCTCAGATGTTTTCTCTCTGGCTGGACCTCTTCAGATTCAACATCAGACTGCTGACAGAAATGTTATGAAAGGCCTTACTATAATAATGTTCAAACTTAAAGTTTAAAATATAACATTTTTCTTCAAATTTTGTTATCAGAATAAGGTACCTTTCCCTAAGAATTTTAATTATTAAGAAAAAGTTTCTGAATTATAATGTTAATATAAATGAATTTCAGAATTATAACAATGACTATTCAAAAAAGTTTTAAAGTGTCTAGGCAAATTTTAACTATCAAAAATGCACTAACAAACCATACCAGCTTACTACTGTAACATTCTAATGAACATCTTATTTAGAAAATCAATATTTGTACATGTGATATACTAAGAGAAAAGTGTCTTCTCACAACATACATACAGCCCATAATGCACCGAGCATTCCTTTTACAAGAAAAATAAATTTATATTTGTAATTACTGTTACAGAAGTAAAAAAAAAACAGAAAACCATGACAAACACCTAATTCTATCTTGAATTCAAAGAAACCCTTATCTAACCTGTTTTCTTACTGAAGAGAACCTGAATTAGTCATACCTCAGCCTCATCTACATTTTGTTTCCGTCTCAAAGCACGCACTTCCCGAGGTGTCATTTCAACTGCTATACTAGTCTTTTCTCCATCTGATGAAGCTTCAGCACTAAAGACATCAGTGTCAATGTTGTTCTTATCCACACTGGACTTTTGAGAATGCCTAGAGCATTCATCACACACCCATTTTCCTGGTAATATACATTACTATTAATATCTAAAGATTAATATTTGTATTTAACTCTTTTTATGCTATGGGCATTTATATTAGATATCATATAATCTTTGTTTTAGCCTTGAAAGATATAATATTAACAGTATCTTGTACCACTATGAAGAAAGAGTATTCCCCTTCAATATAAATAATGAAATATTAAAAAAATGTTTTTGTGTACATAAAAATAAATCTAGCACTTAAAAAGTTGTTTATCTATAAATGTGGCAGTGAACAAGTAAAAGGCCGTACAAAATCAGTAGCAATTAAAAGGTAAGTCCATAGAGGGAAAGTTTGATTCTAAAACCCTTGATGATTTTATTCATTTATTTCCTAGCTCTAGTACAAATTAAATAAACTGAATTAGAATATTTAAATAACACTGGGTGAAAGTTCACAAAGAGAAGCTGTAATAGCCACTAATTACAATTGTAGAATTGTTAATCAGAGGGCTAGCATTACCCAAACTATAGTTTCATTATATGTCAGAGAAAAACCAAAATTTATCAGTGTAGGTCAACTGCCACAGTTCTAAGGTGATGGTTTCAACTGTTACATAACTTAATACAGTGTCAGAAGAAATATGTATAGGTTAACTTCTGTAATTGTATAAAATATTTGATTACATAACTTGAATAGCAGTAGAGATTGGAGACCAGTTCTTATGTTACAATATTTATGATGAGTACATCGGAATGGACGGCAGCTGCCTGTTGTACAAAAAACACAAGTGTATAGGACGACATTTTGAAAGTTTTCCATCTTCAGACAGAAGACTTTCGAAATGTTGCCATCCATTCCATGAATACTTTTCCTAAACAATCTATCAAGTGATATTTATGATTTGATCTATAAAAAAACCCAAACTAGCAGCTCAGAATACAAACTCATGCCACTTTAATAGCACAATCTATATCACATATTTCATATTAATTTAGTGTCAGAATCACTTCAGACTGTTTGATTTTGTTTTAACCCTATCGCCACGGGTATCCTTTACTGTGCATGATACAAGGTTTTAGTGGCTTACATTCAAGATTTTATTAAACTACTTTTTTTATGTTATACCAAACTAATAATTCATATTTTGATAGTATACAAGTTTTAAGTTCTTAATTCTATGAGGCAATATTAAAAGAATTCCTGAATTTCCTCTACTGTGACCCGCATGACACATTTTCCCTTAGCATGTCATCATCCTTAATTTATCCATCACCCCTCGAAAAAGTACAAAATTAAACGTAAATTACTCTCTATAGTCCTGAATTTCTACTAGTGTGACCCATGTGACAAATTTTCTCTTAGCACGTCATCATCCCTATTTTATCCACTACCTCTCAAAAAAGTAAGAAAATTTGAGGTAAATTATTCTCTATAAAATCGTTATTGCTCAGGCAAACCATAATTTTTATAGTCTTCAATTTTGTTTGGTTACAGAGCTATCGCATAGAAAATCAGACCCTTTCTGCCAAACCCACCAGTCATATCTTCTCTTTCACAATTCATTAAAAGTTCACTTTTACGTTTCATTATACATTACCTATAACCAATAGAAAGTCAAGGTTTTCATCCATCAAATGACGTATCATATAATATTACATTCTGAACAGTTAGAAGTCAATTTCATAAAGAGTAGCAACATCATTCCTTTGGGAAAGTTAATGACTAGCTTGGATGAATTTGAAACGGCTCTTGTCGCATAGTTGGAAAGCCAGAAACATTTTTAAAGATAAGGGAATTTGTCTACTTTTTGCATGTTATTAGTTTATATTCTTTGGTACATTATTTAATTAAATAAAAAGTATTAAGTGCATTACTATTAGTACTATAAAAAATTAGGCTTAACTGTCATTGACAAATGAGAGCAAGAAAAAAGAAGATTGGGTAAGTACTTTTTTTTTCTTGTTTTTTCATATTTATTCTTATAAAAATAACAAATATAAAAATATGTATCTTTTTAAGTTATTTAAAACTAGATTAGGTAACATAAATAATAAAAATAATATAATTAAAATGGTTCATGAGGCATACACGCGAGCAGCTCGTGGGTAATGTAATTCAATAGAGTAGCGTGACCTGCACATTCTCCGATTTGATTTACATCTTTTTAAGGTGCGGATAGTAGTTAAACACAGTTCAAAGGGCGATAAAACAAAAAAATTAATTATAAATACATGTATAATGTTATGAACTTAGAGATACTTAGGATAAATGAATGTAGTTTCATGTTACAATTTGAAGTCATTCTAGAAAGAAAGAAAAAAGAGTAATTTAGGTTTATTTAGATATTTGTTTGGTGGTTAAAAGGTCGGTTGGTTTGACCAATCCTGTTTTGAGATAGGGTAGACAAAACAACAGATAAACTATAAAGTTATACTGAAAAAAAAAACTTTGAAATGCATCTAGAAGGTTTTAGGGATTACACAAAGGGAATTTGAGATTTTTGAGATGAGGAAAAGTATTATTAATTTTAACATGAAAATTACTTTGC